AGGTCTTGACAGCAGCGAGAGCATCAAGGTTAATATCAAATGGCATAAGTAGAAATTATCATTAATATTACTAGGTGGGTAATGTGTAAATATCTTCTGAGTTCCCAAAATGTATTAAAGATTAGCAAAAAATTTTAATATAAATTGAAGAACATTGATTTTACCTCAGTTTTAGAATTTAGCTAACCTTTGTACATATGGGTAGGTATAGCCTACATATATTTGTCATTGTCTGTCTGCTCAGTTCTCGTTGTTGTTGGTTTTTGTTGTTGTTGGTTTTTGTTGGTGTTTATATGTTGTTGGGTTTTTTTTCTTTTCTTTTTTTTTTTGGCTACTTTGGCTAATGGTAGGAAAGGATGACACGAATGCATTACTTGCTTTGTTTCAAGTAAGATTCAAATCCAAAAGCTGCCACCTTTAGTTTTAAAATTTTAACCAAAGATGGCCCCTCTTAGTCATGCCTTTGGAATCCTATGTAAACTTAATTTGCATTTTCTTATCCAGAATTGAGAACCATTTTCTAATCAAGTGACAGTGAGGTAGGAATAATAATTCAAAAGTCACATAACTATGAAATAATTCAGTTGTTTTAAAAGAGAAAAATATAGATTCTGCTATTTTGCTCTTCTGCTGTTTAAATTAGCCTCCAGACAGAATGTGGTAGTACTGTCTCTAGACTGTAAACTCACCAAGATCCAGAATTGTAAATTCCTTATATTTGAATTCTCAGCACCTAAACAAATGCCTGGCACCTACAAATTTTTACAGGAAATAAAGTGAGTACACAAAACATAATTTTAACTATTCCACAAAGCCCAATTCTACATTTCAGAGAAAGAAGGAGTGAGGGAAAGTGGCACATGTAAAGAGAAGTGCAAGGAAATTGGTCAAAGGGGAGAAATACAGGGAGGAAAACCATAATGATATGTAATTAACTGTAGCAACATACAATACACTTTAGTGGCATACAATATGGAGAAGCACCTAGGAGAGTGAGAATGGCATGGACAGTTCCTTTCTTTAACATGGATGTTTTGAATCTCTTCTTTGTTCTAGGCCCATTGCTCTGTGCTGGGCACAGGGAGATAGATCAACATCAGATAACTTATGGAAGGTACTCAATAATTACAACACAGTTGAAAATAACTACACTATCAGGAAATTTGAGGATACACACATAAAAGAGCACAGCTAGGAGTTTGCTGGGATGTTTTAGACCAGAGGTTGGCAAACTTTTTCTGTAAAAAGCCAGATAGTAAATATTTTAGGCTTTGTGAGTCAAGAAGCAAAAATCAAGCAATTCTTCTCACCAGAAGCTATTTTTTAAAAGCAGTTTTACATTTAAAACTATAATAATCATTCTTAACTCAGAACCATACAAAAATAAGGCTGAATTTGTAGTTTGTCCACCATTTTAACCTATGGGGTATATTTTGACCACCATACTTCAAGATAATCCACACATGGTTAATTGAAAATTAGTTCAGTATACACTTATATAAAAGCATGTTTTAACAAAAGAAAACAACAAAAAACACTGTCTATGCCCTCGTCCAGCAGGGGAAAGCCACCCCTAACAGAAAGAACAAGAAAGTGTTACAGGGACAGAGTGGAAGTCTTTGAGGACAACGTCTAAGAAATTTCTAAATTCCTGATTCTGCAGACTGTAAACTCAGAAAAGGTTAAAAAGCACCTTCATGCTTCCTTGGTGGTCACCAGGGGCAACAGGAAAGAAGATTCTTGAGAGGGACTTGATCTCATAAAGGCTGCCCATACGTTGGCATGTGGCTTCTTCGCAGCCACTCTTCTGTCCCGCATAGCGAGCCTCGAGCTCGCGGTGTCAGCGTTGTGGATCTGCCCCTCACTGGCACATGTTCAAAGAAAGCAGGGCTTCCACACAACCCACCTGATGTATGCATGTGGGCCCTCTCCTTTGTTTAGAATCGCTATTGCCCCTTGCTATGACTTCTAAGATTGCAAATTCTTTCACTGCCATAGCCAAAGTAGACTGATTGTACATGTGCCCAGGTAGATGAGTCTACAGCAATTTATGGAGCATGTATTTTTTATCTACTTTTTGCTTCTTTCCCCATCTATAAAACAGGTTTTAAAACTACTTTTATTCTCAACATAAAATAATTTTTAAAAACTTTCTGCAGATCAAATTAAAAAAGCAATATAATGTGATTATGAGCTCAGGCCCTGGAGTCAGGTCACCTGAGTTTGTTATATTCAGTCCTACCACTTCCTAGCCATGAGACCTTAGCTGGTTATGTAACTGCTCCATGCTTATGTGTAAAATGGGTGTAGATGTAGATTTATCTCAACAGGATATTGGAAGAACTAAATGAGATGACACATAGAAAGCCCTTGGCCTCTCTTTGAGTAAGGTTCTTCCAGGTAGATAAGCAGTGAGACTAACTTTTTAAGGGGAGTATGTTTCCTTCTTGGGAGTTCTAGCATGTCTGAACACTTGTTTTGTGTTTGAGGCAAGGGTGACTGTGTGGAGCCACAGCCTCCTGCAGAGCAAAATCTCTTAGTTCCTCTGTGTGCCCCATCCTTTCAGTTGGCTGACCTGCCTCACTCATGTCATTGCATTCGCTTGGGGTTCACAAGCAGGTGGGGTCAGCTCCATTAACCTTGACAAGTGGCAATATTTTCACTATCTTGGAGAAATAATTAACCTGGTTGGTTGAATTAATTTTGAGAGGTAAGTTTGTTGTTTTTTTTTCAAGAAACTAAATTAAAAACAACAGCTGGCGACATAACAACTGTACTGCTGTTTTGTAGTTTCTGACACTAAGCACATATAAAGATGGATGTAAGTGTGGTATCCACTAAAAACACAGCCCATCTTTAAAACAGGAGTCAGTTCACAAGGAGCTGTGCCCTGATGCGAGGGGCACTTTACTTGATTTTCCTTACAGTTTCAGTGGACCCCAAGGATTTGAGTGATATACCAGGGTTTTCACAAGAAATCATGTAACATATTTAACATTTAAAAGGACCCCTTGTTCCTGAATACCTGTCTGTTATTGTTTTCCAGTTAGCTCAAGGAATTAAACTGCTAAATTAAACCCATCGAACTTCCTTCCCTAATTAGTTTAACTTTTATCAGTTCTATGGATCTAGAGTGGGAAGAAATAATCATCCTTTCCATATATGGACGTTCTGGGAATTTGAAATTTGAGATCACACAAAGATCTTAACCACTGTTTTTCACCCTTTCTCTCCTTTTTGACCCAAGGGATAATGAAACACTTGCTTTCTGCATCAGCCAGGAAGGTCAGAAGAAGGAGAAGGCCTGACTTTGTCCTCTGGCCAACAGGGGCTACTGCAAGAAAGCCAGGATCAGGATCATGTGAGGCAGGGGGAGGGATATCAGTCTGAATGGGGGCTGTCTCGTGGCCTGGGCCCCTCTAGCTTTCCAAAGATCAAGAACAATTGACTCTGCAATTGCTGGTGCCGTAGACCTCCTATCCACATGCCTGCTTTACACACAGTGTTACCAAGACATGGTGAAATAGGAACACCATTTTAGAACATTGTGTAGTTCGTTAATAAGTCTGATTGTCAATAATATGAGCTGTGTCTATAATAATCAGGGTATGCATTCTGTGGATATGTTTATTTCCAAAATTTCTCTATGTTCGTCTTTCTTCTTCCTTCTATCTCACTTCTGTGTTTCAAGTTTTCCTGTCTCAGTCTTCCTGCCTCTTAATTTACTTCCTTCGTCTCTTGTCCTTTTCTCTTTCTGGAGCACCCTGGCTTGTCTGATTCTTCTTCAAAATAATCTGGAACAATCATAAGATCCCATAGCTCTTTGGCTTCCCACCCCAGGCCCTAGCTTCCATATGACAGGAATTTACCTTCTTGGCCCACCAGTTCCTTAACCCCATCTTGGGAAGTCACCATCTAAGAGTTTCATTTCAAAATCAACATCTAAAAATGCCTCTTGGCAGCCCTCTGATGAAACCTATTCAAGAAAGGAGCAATCATTTTGCACAGGCCCGCTGAGTTTTTATGGGACCTTGGAAATGCTGCACTTCCCTCAAACAGGACTATTTCTTTTGCTGGGTTAAAGTCAGGCTCTGCTAATTTTCTTTTGTGTCTCTTTCTAATGCCACCTTCCCACCAAGGAAATTCAGCTGGTTACAGAATCAGACCCTGATCCTACATACTGGTCTATATGGTATAGATCATAGTCATAAAGTGTTTGGTTATTTTCTTTGGGGTTTTAAAAAATAATTGCCTCTATTTTCTCTCATGAATGACTGTGAATGTAGCAAACAGACACAAAAATAGATTGCCCACTCTTTGCAGTTTTTTTTTCTGTAGTAGTTTGTTTTACAGCCACGCTGTTTTGATGAGATTACCACAGCAATGAGTGAATCTGAATGTCTTGACTATCTTGTCCGTAGGTGAATGTCCTATACTCCATAATTCCCAGCCAGTAAGCCAGCTTCCTTCCTTGAGGCCTGAACATCATCACTACCCAACAATCGATGAGCCTCTTCCACCAAGTAAGCTTTAGTTTTTAAACTCTATGTCTTACCTCTTCCTGTCAAGTCTAAACAGGTCAGTATGAACTTGTATGTAAACATCCGAACACTTCCCGAACTCCACACCTTACACTGTTATCAAAAATAAGTATAGCTCCTACTATAAAACTTGGTTTTTAAATTAATGATTTCAGCATGTGATCTTGAAGAGATAGCCCAGTATTTTCAGTGCCCCTCAAATTCTGAAATGAAGAGCATTTCTTTGTAAGACTTGACTAGTCCTTGCAAATTTTACTATAACCCCTTAAGTCTCAAATTTTACCATTTTATATTTAAAAGTTTGAGGTTCAAGACAGAATAGTCTTAATTGTTCTCCATTGAATTTGTTATGCCACAAGCATTTCACATAATGAAACATTTCAACCCCTCAGGACCCATGAACTTGCATTTTCCTTACTATAACTTGCATCAACAGGTGACAACCTCAAATTTCTTCTACAATTCTTAGGGGTTTCCAGACAAAATATCATCTTTAGAGATAGAATTCAATATCATTTTCTCCTGGTAGCTGTGGTGTTTAATTAATAATTTTCCAACTAGTCATTTGAACTTGGGAAAATCATTTACTCTCAGAGAATCCGTTTTCTTATTTCTAAAGTAAATCTTTAATTTCCTCATTTGCTAAATGCTAGATTTGGACTAAGTAGTCTCTAGATATCATTCTAGCTTTAACCTTTTAATACTCCATTATAATAAATTTGTAAGAAGGAACTGACACCCCACTTAGCATCATATGTGTTCATGAGTTCTATAACATTTCTGTTTTGGTTTAGGCTTGGTTTTCAAGCAAAGATAACCTTACGATTTGATAAATTCTACAACTGCGAAATCTTTCCAGGATGCTATAAATCAGTGTTTCTTTACATTCTTTTTCCTGTGCTTATATTATTAAGTGGTGCATTTTTCCAAAAGAGAAATGCTTATTTCTTAATTCATCTGTTCTTGATAATGTGATATATTTTGCATTTACACAATTTTTTCTTCTACTCAGTTGTAATTTACCACTGAAAAAACAATGAACACCTTTCATTTATAGACATTTAAAAAAACACCATATTTTGGGGGTAAGCCAAGCCAAATATTATGTCCTTTAACTTTTGACACCTGATTCCTTTATTTACTTATACATTGATTTATGGATATTCATTTACTATCCATAAATGAACAGTAAAATTTCAGTACCACTATAGATACTTCCTAATTAACACTTATCTGAAAAATGTCTATAACATGTTTTCTCTAGGAAAAGAATACTTTCCTCACAACAAATAGCATATCAATGAATTGACTTCCAATTCATGCAAGACTAATAACTGGTTATACATACAGATGTTATAAAAATGATTATAGTTCTAATTTAAATAATTACTTTATATAAGCTGCTTTAAATAATGAAAACAGATTTTTCCAGACAGGTTTCAATTTTCTGTCCATGTGACACTGAAAAATATTAGGAAAGTTAGTAGTGAATCCTAACAACTGAATTTTCTTAGATAATCTCAAATAGTACATGGATGATTTCATTACTGATCTTCATTCATTCAGCAAATAGTCATTGAATGCTTACTCTGTTCAGAGTACTATTTTAAGTAAGCAAAACAGACAAAGATCCCTACCCTCATGGAGCTTACAGTCTAGCCTGGCAGACAGATAATAAAAAAGAAAAAGAAAAAGATGAGGAAATTGGGCCGGCTGAGTGGTGCGATGGTTAAAAACTGGCTAGGGATGCCAGAGGGCCCCGGTTCGGATCCCACATATGAGGGCCAGTGACACTGCCCTCCACAGCTAAGATGCTGAACAACAGCTCAACCTGGAGCTGGGCTGCTGTGAGTCACCGGAAACAGCGTAGGCTGCAGCCCCTGTGGCAGTGGGTTGTCATGGGCTACCGTATGTAGCCAGCAGCCAGCGTGAGCAGCCAGCAGCCGCAGTGAGCGGCCGTCCAGAAGCCAGCGACTGATCTGCCTCGCCTGGGAAGAGCGCAATGATGGTGCCAACTTGAGCCAGGGAAGCAACGTCCTCCACAACTACACTGAAGAACAAAATGACAGCAACTTGTCTGTTCCCCTTCCCACATTTCCCCAGCACTGTTCCCATCCCCCCAATTCCCCAATTTAAAAAAAAAGAGGAAATAGTATAGCACATTAGATGGTGATAAGTGCTATCAAAAAACAAAAGCAGAGCAGGGTAAGGGGATCTGGAGTTTGGGGTGGTGGCTGGTTTGCCATTTAAAATAGGGTGGTCAGGTAAGCTTCACTGAGAAGGCAAATTTGATGCTAGACTTAGAGAAGGTAAAAGAGTTATCCACATAAGTACTGGGGAGGAAGAGCATTCTGAGCAACAGCCTGCCTGGTGGGTCTGACAAACAACAAAGAGACATTGTGTCTGGAGCAAGTGATGAGGTCAGGGAGACAATGGTACCCAGATCACATAAGGCCTTGTAGACCACTCAGGGCTTTGGTTTTTATTCTAGATGAAAAGGGGGCATTGTAGGGTTTTGAGGAGAGAAATAGTGTTGTCTGAGTCAGGTTTTAAAAGGTTTTCTATGCTTGCCATGGCAGCATTAAGTTGTGAGGAGGAAGGGCAGAAGCATGAGACCCAGCATAAGACTACTGAAAACAATGGTGGCAATGGAGGCTTCAGCCAGGGGGCAGCCACGGACGTGACAAGGAGTGGTCCGATTCTGAATGTGTGTTTTGTAGGTAGATTTGCTGACAGATTGGATGTGATATGTGAGAGAAAGAAAGGAGTCAAGAATGACCTCAAGAATTTTTATCTAGAAGGATGGAGTTGCGTTCAACTAAGATGGGAACGCAAGGCTGCAGATGGAGCAGGTTTTGGTGGGAAAGTTCTGAAGCTTGGTCTTGATCATTGTTATATTTGAGATGTCCAGATACTGTTGTTACAAAGGCAATTGGATGTGTGACTAAAGTTTAAGAGAAAGGTGGAGACTACTAACGTGGTATTGAAGTGGTTAAAGTAAAAAAAAAAAAGTACAATTTTACTTTGTTAACATAATAACTAGAGATGATACATTATTACGCTCTATATTATTCTTAGACTTCATGGGAAATATGTAATTTAGTATACATCTTTCAGCCATAAATTCGTTGACTTAAATAAGTTACTCTAACTTGTCCCAGCATCATAAAGGTATCATTTGCAGGTGTCTGTTCAGGCATCATAGTGCCAAGTCCATCAGAACATGCTGAGACCTGAAGTTCCATTTCAAATTTTTTTGTTTATGAAATATGTAAAAGTTAATTCTTTACAAAATAACCCAAAAAGCACTTATAATCTCTAATTCTACTTAGCTATTATTTTCTGAATATTTATAAGAGTATATATTAGCACTGTGCGTTCCAGATATTTAATATGTTGACAAAAGGGTCTATCTGGCTTTCATCCCTTTCCGTTAGTGATTTAGAAATATTGAAACTTAGAGAGAAATTGTTATTGTTGCTGTACCATTTTCTAGTTTTTATTTATTTATTTGTTTTCCTTAGAGAACTTATGAGACTGGGGTTTTGTCTTTGAATGACTTCTTCCTTTACTATGGGTGTCTGGAAGGCAGGATCATATGTTACTCAACAATGTGTCCTCAGAGTCTGGCAGAGTTTCCAGTTCATAATAAGTGCTAAGAGGAGTTTGTTCAATTGAACTGAATAGCACAACACTCTTCAAAGACTAATGCTCATTCTTTGTTGGATAATAGTAATGTTGGGTTTAAAAAAAAGCGTCTGATTGCTACTTGTTTGGGAATCACTGAAATTTAAAAACTTTTTGGATCAAGGTTAATTACCTAGTAGTCACATATACACACAATTTAATCAATGAGCTCATTAACATTTACAACTAACAGTTGAAAGCTGTGTTATCTAGACATTAATTTTAATCAAAATCTCCTAGAATATATTTATACAAGCTGACTACATTTTTCCTTCAATTTGTCTTATGAGTTAAATTTGGTGTTTTCTGGTATTTTGGTTTTCTTTGGGCATTATTTGGCATTTCTTCAATTAAAGATCTGACATAAGCCATAATGTTCACAAGTAGATATAATATGCACCAATAAAACCATAAAAATACTATTAAATTTTTCATTAAAAAATTGAGAATTGATATGTCATTACCTGAATGATACTTTTTTCAATAAAACCATTAATATATGTTCTACTCCCCAAAGCTATGGCTTTTCTTGCTTAAAAGGCTGAATGATTTCCTTCCATTTTAGGTCATTTTTTTCTTCTTTAGTCTAATTCATTTTTCAGCATAACTATCATGAAGCTGTTATTTCCACCACATTTTTCCATGTGGACTCTAAAAGCTTTGCTCATTTCTGTACAACAGACATTGCTCTTCCATGTTAAGCTCTGATATGTATATATTATTGCCAGCTCTCTCAGTTTTGAGGACTTTTTCATCCACCCACCCCATCCCAGCTCCTACATGTATTACGTAGTGTATGCCTATGATTCCACCTTTTAGTTTGTTGTTTACATTTGAGAAGTAAAGGAACTTATCTTTATCTTGGGCTCCCTCTACTGTTTGGGATGGGTGCTTTTCAACAAAGACATATTTAAAAGCTTGATATTTGTTATTGGTTTGGTTTGGTTTTGGTCAGGAGCTATTTGGCAGCCACAAGTAGGTTGAATATACACTGTGAATTTACAACTTATTAGAAGGACAGTTTGAAATTCTAGGTATCAAATCTTTCCATTCTTCCTGTTAAGAAGAACGGCAATCAATTAAAGTTGCTAAGTATTAGAGATCATCTAAAGTTGCATGTACAGTATTTTAGAACTGTAGTTAAAACTGGTTATTCCCTTCCCTGATTAGTAGCCCCCTATCAGATTTAGCAAAGAAAGGATTCTACAGCATCACAATGTCAGCTCTCACTGGAGGATGTTTTCAGTCTGCCAGCTGTCATTTGAGTAGCCAGCAATATTGACAAGATAAAAATTTTAATAAAAGAAATTAAATAAATATTAAATGTTTTCTCTGTGATTAGGGTTTGGCCTTCAACAAGTAACCAACAATAAGTTCTACCTGTAGAAGACCTGGAGGTGGTATCTGTTTCACATGGATCAGTAGTTTGTCCTTGATTTTTCTTTTTGCCTTTTTATTACACATTAGACTGGGAGGCCCGTGTTGACAGCCATGGGCGGGTCTTTTATGTGGACCACGTGAACCGTACAACCACCTGGCAGCGTCCAACAGCAGCAGCCACCCCTGATGGGATGCGGAGATCGGGGTCCATCCAGCAGATGGAGCAACTCAAAAGGCGGTTGGTGATCAGCATGCAGATAACCCCTATAAACCACAGTGAAAGTAGAATGGCAGCTAATGAAACCCCTGTCACACTCTTCTGCTCAGATTGTATGAAAAGGCCGAAAGTAATTTTGCATTTTAAGAAACCCATTCATAGTAGGTACTTAGAAAGCTACATGTAGAATTTGGTGGCAGGAGGCAAGTTAAGCTTGAGTGTTATTTAAAGATGAGAAATCCCCTGAACTTCTTGATGACCCAGGCTTGAAAACAGGTGTTTTTAACCAACAGGCTCATGGAGGCCCCCATCTCCACCCCAGGTATTTGCTGAGGGTGTCAGTGTTCCATGAACCATCCATAAATTTTATACAAAATTATACATGGATGCACACTTTCCTGCCAGTCTGATCCATATGTGTTGTAAGATTCTCAAAAGGGTCTAAAATTCCAGCAGTTGAAAGCATTCCAAGAATAGATTCCACAGAATACTAGAAGATACTTGGAGAAAAACTGTCATACAAGGTCTGACAATTAAGTTCGCAAACTTGTTGCACTGATGTTGCTAACCTGTTTTGATATCAGAATGTTTATTCATTATGAATTTGTACCAACTGGATGAACAGTTAACCAAGTTTACTATTTGGAAGTGCTGAAAAGGCTGTGTGAAAAAGTTAGACGAAAACATCCTGAACTTTTCACCAACTATTCATGGCTCTAGCATCATGGTAATGCATCAGCTCGCAAGGCACTGTCTGTGAGGGAGTTTTTAGCCAGTAAACAAATAACTGTATTGGAACACTCTCCTTACTCACCTGATCTGGCCTCCAATGACTTCTTTCTTTATTTGAAGAAAAAGGAAATATTGTAAGGGAGACATTTTGATGACATTCAGGACATCAAGGGTAATACGACGACAGCTCTGATGGCCATTCCAGAAAAGAAGTTCCAAAATTGCTTTGCTGGGTGCACTAGGCACTGGTGTCAATACATAGCTTCCCAATGGAAGTACTTCAAAGGTGACTGTAATGATATTCAGCAATGAGGTATGTAGAACTTTTTCTAGGATGAGTTTGCAAACTTAGTTGTCAGACCTTGTATACATCACTGTATTCATGTCCACTCAGTGCCCATTATTGCTATATCCTCAGGAATACTAATTCTTAAAAAATTTCATCTTAGAAAAAGAAATGTTTAAAAACACTTTTTGAGAATTGTTTTGTCTAAAAACTACACCCTTACTAAAGAACTTGCAAAGATGTCATTTTTTATTTTAACCTGCAAACAAAATCCTAAATGGCTTCTCTCCCATATTTTGAGCTAGTATGAGCATCATAGCAGACGTCTTTCTTCTTGAAGGACAGGATGGTAGCTTTGGGACACTTTTAACGAGGAATGCAAAATGCAGGCTCAACTTCAGTTGTATCCACAGGTCATCTTGTTAGTATGAAATAAAATAAAGGTTGAAAGGGATTAAAAAGAATAAAGAACTAGGTTTGGGAGACAAACCTATAGATAGCAAATATCCTTTGAAAATTAACTGTATCAGCCAGAAAAAAAAAGTGGGCAATATACACCTATTAAAAATATACAGAGACAAAAAATTGACTTCGGATTACTATTGTACACAGAGAGGCATGCTTTAAGTGAAAATCACCAGGATTATTTTATTGCTTGAGCATTTGGTAGACATTTATTTTCCACTGCTCCCCAGCAGTAGCCGAGTGTTGAAGTCATTAATGAGAACCATAAGGGATTTTCATTGGCAGCATATTTCTCTACAATCATTCTCACAAAACAAAGTATATGATAATGGAAATCTTGTGGTAACCCAGCTTTATTAGATATGATTGCACCAAAAATCCTTGGAAGAGTACTTTCATGGTGATTGCAACAAAACTCCTGTAACTAAACATCCATAAGACAGAGCAGGCTCATTTTACATAGACACTATGTTGAGAATCCACAGGTAGAAATAGCCTCTAGGTCAGTCTTGCCAAAACAGGTAAACTGAAATTGTTTAGCAGGCTAAGAAGTAGGGAGAGCATCATCAGGCCACATCTATGAGAGGTGCAGTTTGAACACTAAAACAAAACAATAAATCAGAAGCAGAAGTAAGCACCTTGACCTATGACACAAAAATCCATGAAAGTTCGTGGTCTTTAAGTTTTATAATATAAAAATTCGACCAAATTCATTCTGAACCAGGCCTCTAGAGAAGTTTTGCAGGCTTTGATATGCAAATTCCAGGGCTCTCCAGTGGAGCTGAACAAGCCAGGAGAGGGAGCCAGACTTTGCTGAATAGGAAGTTGTATTTGCTGCCTCCACCTGGACAGATGAAAAGAAAAGGGATTTAGAGACTTGAGAAAGAAACTTATCAATACTTAGGGAAGGTCAGATAACCTTGAGATAAGTATCCAGGCTCTTCAGTACTTAACTTATTGTTTTCAAGCATTTAAAGTTTTTTAGTGATTTGGCATGATAAAGTCAGCCACATGAAGTATATTACCAGTCTTTTATCCACTGCAGATGTGGATCACACAGAGGGGTCACTTTTTGATAACCTTCGGTTATGGGGGAAAAATTACAACAATCATGGTTTCATAGCAAAACGGAACTATTGCTCAGTGTTGGAAAAAGGAGTTTCCCTTGACTCCTGACAGGGCGATCGTGAAAATCAAATGTGTTTGTTCAAGGAGATGCACACTGAGCAATGCAGAGTGCACAAAAGTTGTGTGTGGTGACTCGTTCACATTTGGCCACTCCCCACGCGGCCCACTGTCTTTACAGGCTTTGCCACATGCTCCCACTTCAGGGAAGCTCCTCATTGCCTGCTCTCCAGCTGGTACACACCTCCATCCTGCAAGGCCCAACACAAACACCGTGTGGTCCCTGAAATCCTCCTAGAACACGCACACAGATTTTGTAGCTACCTCCTCCACAACCCCATGATCGGTCAGTTGTGCAGTCCTTACCTTCTTTCCTTATCTGCAATGTAACCCCTCCCAGTGTCTGGAATGGCACCAGAGTTAAACAGAGCCATACAAGACTGCTTCGCACTTTCAGAATATCCTGAATTAACTAACTCTATCTTCACAAATATTTATTAAGCAAATATAAATACATATTATCATTTTAAATCATCAACTAGAGTTGGATTTTTTAGTTATTTGGATAAAATTATTGTGCTATTAGAAGTGGAAGTTTTAAATAGGAAAAAAAATCTATAATTCTACTACTCCAAGGTTTAGTTTTTTTAAAAATTTTATCCAGCTTCAATTTCCACATGCATGCACTCCTTGCATAGTTATAATGATAATATCTAGTTAGTTTTATATTCACTTTATACTTAATATATAATAAACATTCTTATATTGCTACATAGGTTTAGGATTATCATTTAAATAGTTGTATAGCATTCCAGTGGGTACATGTAATTTAGTTAATTTGCCATGTTGTGTTTTGCTTATTGTTCTTTATCACTGTTTTGGATAAGACCCAAGAGACTGTTAAATATTAGGATTGCCTTTTAGTAGAGTATTTCCTCAGGATTCTATGCCCAAAAGAGGTTTATATGGTTTGGTATTTGATATCAATGCCTGAAGTAGTTTGCTCTGTGAGCAAGAACAGCTTTACTTCCATTTCATCTTTTGGTGTGTTTTTGTTGGTGTGTTTTTGTGGTGTTCCTTGTATTCATTTCTTGGAGGGAAGCTCAACTTTTGTTTCCAATGAGCTTTTCTTTTACCAGTTTTAGCGCCTCCCATGAGAATTATTTGCTCTTGAACTTTGTTTTGCTATTGTTTGGTTTGGCTTGGTTTTGGAAGGGTTTTGTTGTTGTTGTTTTCTTGTTTTGGTGTGTGTGTGTGTGTGTGTGTGTTCATTTACAAATTAGATATTCCAGCTGACTTTCTTACCAATTTTCATGAGCTCTTTATGTAATACAAGTATATGACCTTCTGTTCCAAAAAAAAAAAAAGTTAGGGAGGACATTGAAAGATAATTCTTTTTTTTTTATTGTTAGTTTCAGGTGTACAGAACAATGCAATAGTTACCCTTTTCACCCTCACAAAGTAACAACTCCCCTCCCCCCATCCACTGCCCTCCCACCCCCGATATCATGCTTATCTATTACAATTCCATTGAATCCGTTCCCGCACTCTACTCCATGTCCCGAGGTTATATGTATATATAATTATAGTTGACATACAGTATTATTCAACATTAGTTTCAGAAATACAATGCGGTGGTCAGGCCTCTACATCAACTATGAAGTGGACTCCCCAAAAGGGCATTGGTCCATCTGGCCTCCTAAGATGAAAGATAATTCTTAATGAAATAGAAGAGAACTGGCTTTCTGACCCCCTCTTTCATCTGTAAAGCAGAGTAAGCCTCTGAAGCTATAGTCCTGCCCTTGCTGAATGATTCCTACACACCCCTGTGTGTCCTACTTCCCCAACATGCCCCTACACTTCAGCAAAGATCAGGGTTGGGTCTCATACCTGGAATTTGAGGCTGTTGACTCAGTAAGGTGTGAGATGACCAAGTCCCAACTGAGGACATATTAAGCAGGTTGTGAAACATTTTTGTCATCAAAGAAGATTGTATTTACTCACAAAAATTCTCTTCTGTGGTCACTGCACTTTGGGAAGAACAAGAGAGTACAACTTGACATTTGTCTAAGCCCTGTTCCAGGTATCTATTGCTGAATAACAAACCCTAAATTTAATGGCATAAAACAACAATCATTTATTTTCATCATCATCATCATCATTATTTCTCATGGTTAACTAGAGTCATCAAGGTGATTCTCTCTCAGGGTAGCTCATGGTTACAGTCAGAGGATGGCTGGGGCTGAAAACTCACACATCTGGAGGTTGATGCTAGCTGTTGGAGTGGTCAGCCAAAACACCCACACATGGACTTTCCATGTGGCCTGGACTTCCTCACAGCATGGCCACTGTGCTTCCTCATAAATTGCACTTACATTATCTTCTATTATTCAAGGTAGCCAAAGCACCTTCTCAGATTCAAGGGGAGGAAACATCCATTCTACCTCTTAATGGGCTCTAGAAAAGCATGTGGGACTAAAAATATTGTTGAACAATTTTTGGAAAATGCAACCTGTCATGAGCCATTTAGGGGGCTCCCTTGACAGCAGCTTCCTTGTTCTTTGCAGGCACCATTCCATCCCTGGTCAAGGTTCCCCACTTAGGCAGCTTCTCGTGGGCCCACTCTGCCCCTCCCGCCATGGATGTACTCACTGAGTTCCAGCAGAACATCACAGACAGGCACCCTTCAGTTTTCCCACAATCTCCCCACCACAGACATAAATGCAAGCATTTATTTCTATAATTGTTTGCACATCCCTGAGCTCATCATGTTTCTTATGAGACCTTTTCAGGAATGCCTCACAGTAACTGCTGCAAGAAAGATGTCTTCTGCCAGGTGTAAACAGTGAATGGCTGAGTCTCTCTAGATAAAATAAAATGTGCAGAAAGCCTCTAGAACAGTTATTCTCAAACTTAATGAGATAATACTACCTGAAGAACTTGTTAGAAATGCAGATTTCATTTTTTGTTTCATTTCTGTAATTATAACAATCACCAAAATGATTTTCTTGCAAGTGGTCTGGAGACCACACTTAAGAAAGGAAAATCTATTTTAAGATCAAGGAAAGAGGTTACTGGTCTTCAGACCTTGACTGTGTAATGGTGGGTCCCCTTGCCCGCATCTTAGATTACTTGCAGACCTGGTTATTCACTGTTACCTGGACTCTCGCCCTCCTCCTCCTCTTCACACGTCTTCTTCCACTCCCACACCTCTTTCTGAGCACAAGACCCATATAGCAATATTCTCCTGGCTATTGTCACTTGTGTGACCTTAAGGAGCCCCAAGTCAACACGTCCAAATTCACATGAAAATCTTTGTTCCCCAGCTGCCCATCCTCGTATGTGCTTGTTTTCACTGTTAGCACTTCCACCTACCTGGTCTAAGTGGAAGCCTTTAACGTCACTATCATCCCTTCTCTCTTTAACCTCCATATTCAGTCAGACCCCAAATCCTGTTGAGTCTACATATAAAATTATTACAAATTCTGCCACTAAATATATATTGAATTTTGCCCCTTCTCCCATTCCTGCTGTGCCTTGAGGAGAAAGGAAGCTGAATCCTAGTCATGTCCCTTGTAGGATGAGACCTATCAGGGAAAACAGAGGTCAGATGGGGAGGAAGAAGGGAGGCTGCTCAGAGTAAAGGCAGTGGAGCCGGGCAAAGAGAAATGAGACAGCCAGACATCTGCCTAAAAATACAATGTGAACTAGATAGAGCAGGCTATCAAGGGAAGGGAGGCTTCAGAAATTTCAGTGAGTATTTTGCAGGCAGGTAGAGGTGATCTGAGTATCTCTACACATGTGAGTGTTCCCCTTCCTCAGCAGCAGGCTGAGACCCAGCGTGGTCCCCTTGTGAGTGCAGGCCTTTCGCAGCTCTGACCTGGGCTGGCACAGTAGTCCCCAGCTGCTGTCCCCAGCTCCAGGCTCTTGTTTTCCAGTGAACTCTCCACAGATGGAAGACATCATTCTCAACATATAGCTGAACCTCTCTTTTTCAGCAGCTACCCAGACATCATATCAGTCATTCTCAAAGTTATTCCCTGGACCAGCAGCATCAGATTACCTAGAAACTAGTTAGAAATGCACATTCACTCCTCCTCCACCCAGACCTACTGGAGCGGAGAAACTGTGGGAGTGGTTCCAGCAGTCTGTGTTTTAAAAAGCCCTGCAGCTCCAGTTGGAGAACATGTGCCTGGAGAAAAACATTCAAGCTGCTGCCTGGGCCACCAAGCTGCTAGATGCCCTCTGCTCCCCTCTGCTGCTCTTCTAGCACTTCCCGAGAGCCACATATCCTGATGCTCCCACCAAGCTCCTCAGAGTTCTCTGATGGTGAACTCTTTGGAGCATGTTATTTTCTCTATGTTCTTTCCCTGAAAGCTCTCCAACAAGTCCGTACCCTGACTTCAAAATGGATGTACCCTACATGTTTTCTCATCTGTGTTCACACACTTCTTATACATCTAGGACAGCTTTTTCACATTGTTAGAGTTATGGCTCACCTAGAGTTCCATCCTGACTGCGTGTGTTCAGAGTGCAATGTCAAACTGTATGTAGTCTTTCTTCTTTTTGACCTGAAAGTCCAGCACAGAGCCTGGGCACATTGGAAAAGTTAGTAATCACTTAGTAGGCACCTGGCAAGGTGACCGACTGGCTGATCAACTGACTAAATTCCCAACTTGGGAAGAAAAATAAAATGAGTCTTTGAATAAGTAGAAAACATTTGTCTACCAAAACATTGATTTTTTTCTGCCAGCATGCTTTTAGTGTATAATATTTCCACAACCCCTGCTAGTCGTATCAGTTACCTGTCAAGTAAAAATAAGTGAGTAGGACTACTATCTAGTTTGTAGACTTATTACAATAATACAGAGATAATTTGATACCTTAATTGTAACATTTTAAATTACTTCCCACAGCCTTATTTTAGACTTAGCCAGATTTTGTTTGATGCACAGTATAGGCTATTTTTTATGATTAGTTATTATTTTTGTCGATTTTTTAGAAGTTACTGTACTTGAAACTCATCATAGCTTACAAAACAAAGAGAAGTCAAATCATCCAGAGATACTTGTCTTGCTAATTTCTTTCTCGTGTGAACTTTAAGCATTTTTCCCTGACATTCAAGACTTTACAGATTTCCTCAACTATCTGAGTCAAAGCCAACAAGCCAATAAATAGAAGTTAACACCTGTCTTTCCATTTTCTGATGCAAAGGTATCAAAATATTCAGCGAACCATTGCAACAGAGAGGCCTGAAGAAGATTCTGGCAGCCAAAGTTGTGAGCAAGTCCTAGGAGGAGAAGGCAGCGGAGGAGGTGGCGGGAATGACTCAGAGGCTGAATCTTCTCAGTCAAGCTTAGGTATGAACAGAGAGGTCCCCTGATTCCTGGGATGGCATCCAGTGGCTGTGTGACAGAGTGTGTGAGCCCCTTTCCCTACCTTGTGGCATGGTGCTGTGCCCTAGGGGAAAGAAAGCAATGGGAAGGGCAGAGGAGAAAGAGACAAGGCGCCAATAAAGTAAAGCAGACAGAAGTTTCCCACCAGGAACTAAAGTAGAAGTGGATTCACATAAAGAGAGCACCAGCACCATGTCTTGGGGGTCTGCAGACAAGAAGGCAGGTGAATCTGGGGACTCCGGGCTGGTGCAGTGAGGCAATTTTTACAGTGGCTTAATTATTTCTAGTTAAGTAAATTTATTTGTTGGTATCCCAAGGATTTTCCTCTTATAAATAAAACACACAATAAAAAATTCACATTCTATTTCAAAAGAGTCACGTAACAAAACAACAAATAAGAATAATTATTGGTTTGATTTTAGAATAAAATACAGTTCCCCTTGAGGGAGGAAGCTGGGCGTAAAGAGATTTTCCAATGGGTTTATGGTTATGCGCACTGCAAGGAGGCCTTTTCACCAAATACTGTTTGCGTCCACCAGGGGCCTGGTTGTCTTTTCTTTCAATCTGCCTGAGTGGAACTCAAATGAGGATATTCAAAAAGCATGGGATACTGGCTTTCACTTTTTATGCCTGTAATGACATAGATGATCATAGTGACAATCGAATAATCCACTTTTTAAAAAATTGAGTTAAGTGATGGCAAATTTATTTGTAAAAAGAAGGCTCAAAAAATAGTCTGAGCAAGCAAACACATGCTTCCAGCCCTGCCAGGCCTCAGCCCTATATGACAATGCAGAATAGTGGACATTTTCATGTACTCTTTTATGTGCATGTACACAGTTCCACCAACAATTTAATTGCCTTCATTTTATTCATTTTATTAGATATACTAACTAAACTGACTAGTTTAGGTTTTTCTATTAGTAATTTGTTTGACCTCCTGAGACAGATGTGGTAAAGTGGCTGAGTAATTAGAAACTTGAGGAACAAAGAAGCAGAACATTTATTTCTGGGTTTGGTATTAGATCTGTTGGCAATTGCTGTGTAACAAACCACCCCAAAGCTTAGTAGCTGAAACTCGCAGCCATGCATTTATCCCACAGTCCTGCAGGTGGCCAATTTGAGCAGAGCTCAGCTGGGTGATTCCTCAGGTCGCTACTGGTTGCAGACATGCATCTTGGTCAGCTGTCAATCAGCTATGAGCTGTCTGCCCTGAGAGAGCCTTGGGTGGTATACCTTGTCCCTGCCCTCATGGCTTCTCATCTTGCACCAGGCTATCCCAAGTTTGTTCTCACAATGGTGGCAGAGTTCTGAGTGAGAATGGGGACACACAGGCTTCTTGAAACCCTGGCTCTGAACTTCTGTCACATTCTGTTGGTTAAAGCCAGATACACAGCCAGCTGGGTTCAACAAGGGAAGAAGCTGCAAAGTCTCCCCTTTGAGTGTGCAGATGGGTGTAGATGCAGGGATGGAGGGAGAGAGGCAAGAATTGTGGCCCTTTCTGGGAACAACCTATCATAGCTATGATTTGTAAAGAAAATAAGAAAAAAGTCATTGGCATAAAAGGGACAAGATATTCAAGCACTTGATCCTAACTGAAGTTATACAGGAAAACTCCTAGAAAATAATGTTTCTTACCTGACATACACAAAGTGATATGACTCCTGGTCAGATCGCTGTGACACCTGGTCAGATCACTGTGACATCTGGTCACATCACTGACTCCTAATCAGATTACTATTTAAAATAACCATCCATTCCAACTGTTTAAGTGAAGGCTTGTGTGCAGAGAGAAGTACTGTGTTTAAAATGACTTTCTTCCAATGCACTCTTGCTTCGCTTCATTTTTTCCAGATTTGAGGAGAGAAGGGTCACTTTCTCCAGTGAACTCACAAAAAATCACCTTACTGCTGCAGTCCCCAGCGGTCAAGTTCATCACCAATCCTGAATTCTTCACTGTACTGCATGCCAATTATGTGAGTGCTCCAAAACACAGAGAGCTTAGCCTGACTTCCATCAAGACCCAAAACACAACTTGACATTGGCAGTAGGTGATCAGGGCATTTAATGAAACATGTTCTCTGACAGAAGTATAGGAGAGAGACTGAGAAGACTAGAGGCTGATTCAGCTGCTCAAATGAGAGATGATCAAGACCTGCCCTAAGTAAAGGGCTGGGCTGGCCATAGGGAAAGGAATGACTCAATGCAGGAGATATTTCTGTGTGGAATCAATTACAGTGTCTGGGACCACTGTGGTCAAGGAGGGATGGGAGATGAGGACTCAAGAAAGTCTGAATCTTTTTTGCTTTGGGCACCTGAGTTAGGTGCTGACTCTGTTAGGCAGATGCAGTAGTTTGATAAGGTGACAAAGGTTATGGCAAGGGGAGGAGGAAACCTCCGGGACAAAAAGTAGTTAGGCCCAGCTGCCCAGTGCAGGGGTGAGAGCCAAAGAGGGGACAAGGATGTCAGAAATTGATGCTCTCAGCACTGGGGATCAGGGGCCCTGGGTCAGCAGGAGCCACTGTGCCAGCCTACTGTGGCTGCAAGCAGTCTTTCATTACACACACACACACACACACACACACACAGCATCCACATGTGTCATAAAATTGCCATTTGTACAATTAGAAACACTTGAAACATATCTGTTTTTTTCTCATCCCTCCAACTCCTCCACACACAAACATTTCTACAGAGGATTCAAAGGAGTGATAGACCTCTGAAGTCCTGCCTTAAATCTCAGGAACCCTAAAGTAATACTCCCTATTGTAGACAGATAAGAGGAACGAGGGCAGACCTGTGTTGTCTAAGAAGGATCTCTGAAGGAGAGACAGGAGTGATTATCAGAGAGGCAGAGAGAGACTCAAGAGAGCTAAGCTGCTGAGAGAGAGAGAGGAAAGAGAAAGGAGGGGAGCCTTTGAGATGCATGGGGAGGCCCACTGTGTCCAAGGCTGCAGAGGAGCAGGTAGAGCCAGGATCTCAAACAGCTCCGTGTGTGTTCAGGGGTGCTCATTAATTTTTGAGGAAGATCTCTGCTTCGGAGGCTACCTCCTCAAGACTCACAATAAATCGCTGTGTAGCAATCACATTACATCACACTGACGTGCTCACAGTGTACTCGGTCTGTGTTTTTCCTAATCCCTCACTCCCTACCGGAATCTGTTCTGATCCATCTCAGAATGCCTACCGAGTCTTCACCAGTAGCACCTGCTTAAAGCACATGATTCTCAAAGTCCGGCGGGATGCGCGCAATTTCGAACGCTACCAGCACAACCGGGACTTGGTGAATTTCATCAACCTGTTTGCAGACACGCAGCTGGAATTGCCCCGTGGCTGGGAGGTTAAAACGGACCAACAGGGGAAGGTGAGTGTGACTGTTGTGTGAGCCTTTCATTAAATGGGCTCTTTCCTTGAAGGAGAAGACAGTGAAAACGTGGGGAAGGAGGTTGGTGAGGAAAGGAGAGCCTGTGTGTTTGAGATGTTCCATTGGCCACCAGGGGGAAGGGAGGAGTTGACTAGCCACAGCAGGGTTTCTGTCCTGTGTATTACAAGATGGTTAGCAGCACCCCTGACCTCTGCCCACTGAGGCCAATAGCATCCCCACCAAGTTGTGACCTTGCTAGATGTCCCTTGAGGGAGTGGGGGGTGGGGTGGCAAAATCACACCCAGTTGAGAACTACTGTCTACATTTTTTTAAATTTAGGTTTGGAATTTGAAACCAGGTTCTGTTCAATGACTTTTCTACTGTCTTGCCTTCTTAGACTGCCAACTCTCAGGGAATAAAATTATCAGGTAAATTGGGAGTGGCATTATTAGATTACTCATTGTGATTTCCCTAATAAGCTTTCAGTTCTCATTAAAACAGCCTTGCCAACAGTGATGGGATCGTTTGAGCTTGTGTCATGCAAGCTGGCTATCATTTTGACTTTGTGTGACCGTAACCAAAACTGGCCCTTCCCAGTAGTGATTTAGAAGCCTAGCTGAGTTTGCTAAAGTGAGAAAGTTTTTTCTTAATTGCCATCAGTCATCTCAATGTATTTATAAGACAGGCTAAAAGTTTACTAAAAACTGTTCCTGTGTAATCTTTTGTAGAGTCTGGTACAGCACACCCCTCCCTCTTTAATTTCAAATGACCAGAAGCTTCACCAGCAGTCATGTCTCTCAGTGAAAAACTGCATTACACAGCTCCTTTTCTTACCAGGAAAGGCTGTTTTCCTCAGTTCTTGTCTTCTAGAAGGAAAGAATTCAGGCAAGAGACAGAGTTAAGTAGGCAAAAGCAACAAAAGGTTTATTAGCGAGGCAAGCACACTCTCAGACATGGAGTGGGCTGACCCGAGGGGTGGGTAGCAGCCTCTCCTTACATTGGGTGACAGCTTTTAGTCTTATGGGTAGGATATTTCTCCTCCCTCTCTGGCACATCCCCATTTTTCTAACCGGCAGATCTGTTACTAGGGCGCAAACACGATTTCCCACATTCCATTTGAAAGCCCACTAAGCTGGGCCCAAAACCGCAATGCAGATGTACTTGCAGGCTTGGGCTCTATACCTGTGCCCATGCTCTGAGGTCTGGAAATGGGGTGGTCTCTAATGGCACTTTCAGCCCGGGCTAGTTCCTCGTCCTCCTGCTCATCTCTACCTTCCTGCTACTCTATCATTTTCCTCTGTGATTGTGAACCCATAAAGCTACAGTTCCCTGAAGTGAGTTGATAGGGTGTCATTGTCCCCTGGGAGCCACAAATCCCTCTCCCACAAACCCTTTAGCATGACTCAGTACCTGGACTCTCTGGAATGTGTGGGGAAATATTGTGTCCAGTAGTGCAGATCTGTTAGTACACGAGAGCTCTATGACCAGGTCCTCTGTAGTTGGGGATTAGTTGCTTAGCAGAAAAGACCATAAGCAGAATCTGCTCCCTAGGACCTTTACATTTACTGGATGTGTCCTCCATTGGAAGAATGACAGTGATTTATATGAAGAGGACTTCCTGAGATGTGTTCAGGTGGGAAATAAAGCTTAAGCCAGAACAGAAAGTAAAGGATCAGTGCTGGGGGGGTGCACCTGCCTCTTCTCAGTGGTCTGTGGTGGTGGCCATGTTTTGCAATTGTTGCTTAACCAATATGCTAAGAGGACACCACCATGAATCAATGAACAAAAAGGCAGGGCTTATAATGCCAAGAGCACACACAAATGCAAACCAGTTGCTTAGCCTTGGATTTCCATGACTGAAGCTCTCACGCCAGGATACAAATAGAAGGAAGCCTGTGGAATGCAGGAAAGCCCCAAGTGCAATCAGCCCTGGCCCTCCATGGTACACCCCACCTCCTGGTTATCACACCAGCAGAAAGCATAGCAACTGAGACATGCATGGAGAAATTTAGTCATTTTGAAATGCATATTAGAGAATTTCATTTCTGAAATGCATATTAGACAAGACATTTTCCCTTTAATTCTGTTTAATGAGATGGTATCATATACAAGAAAGAAAAAAGTATGAATTTGAAATGGGAAAACTTGAGTTCTGCTTTCAGTTATGATACAAACTGTGTGACTGCAGACACACACAAAAAGGGTCTTTCCAATTTCTTATCACTAAATACACACACAGACTCACAGTTGGCAGACACAATTTCTAAGAGACCTGCCATGTACTGAATTGCTGGGGTAAAGCAACCTTAAATTTGAAATATACTTTCACAATCCATAGGATAGAGAGGGACAGTGGAAGATGGGGAGAAGTGGGGAATAGAGATAGGAGGGCTGTGTACCAGGACTGGTCCATCCCATTGTAAACATGTGACCAGGTCACTTCACCTCTCTGAGTCTCATTTTGCTTATCATAAAGTAACGATAATAATGTCTGCCTTGCATTTGTGATTTTATAATTGACATAAAAAGCAAATAAGTTAATGTGGGAATCTGCTTCTTGCTTTATTGTCACATTCAGAAATGACAACCTTTACTTTTAGTATGCACTGTGGCAGGAATACAAGGGCTGTTTGGTGTCTTTACATGCATAATCATCTCCACAAAGGGCCACAGAGACAAAGACTGAAGCAAAGAACAAAATGTCATCTGACTTATCTGTCATTTTGAAAGTTTGAGAGAGGAAGACACAGGACACAGCCTCCAACCCAACTTTGGTAGCGATTGCCTGTGGGCCTCAAGTGGGCTCCAGTGCTGAGCCAAGAAAGGTGGTTATCATCCAAAGAGATGGTGCGGCTGAGCATGTGGGACTGGGGGTGGGGTGGGAGGGCAAATTATGACTGGAGAAGGCATGAGATGGAGGCAGAAATGAAAACAACAAAATGAGAGAGGGCCTATGAAGACCTACTACTACATGAAGCAAACAGAATCACAATCTGAGAAAAATCATATTGCATAATGTAATTTTCTTCAGAAAATAGAAATGAATTTTTAAAAATATCTGCTTATTGTCCACAAAAATGACACAGGAGCACATGACTTTTATAGAGCAAGAAGAAGCCATTAACAAAAAAACAAGCTGAAAGGAAGCAGATGTTAAAAAATAGAGCTAACATATGATCTAGCAATTCTAATTTTGGGTGTATTTGAAAAAGAATTGAAAATAAAACCTTGAAATGATATCTGCACTCCTATGTTCTTTGCAGCATTATTCACAATAGCCAAGATATGGAGATAACTTAAATGCCTGTTTATAGATGAATGCATAAACAAAATGTGGCATATGCATGCAATGGAATATTATTCAGCATTTAGAGGTCCAAATTTCCAGTTATAAACAAATGAGTGATTGGGATATACTGTACAGCACAGGAAATATAGTCAATAATATTGTGATAGCATAGGATGGTATCAGATGGTAGCTGGACCTATTATGGTGATCATTTCTTTAGGTATATAAAAGTTGAATAGCTATGGTGCACACCTGAAAGTAATATAATATTGTATGTTAGCTATATTTTAATACAAATTAAAAAAATAAAACTATAAAAGTAAAAAGAGGAAATTCTGAAACAGCATAGTATAAATCTAGAAGACATTATTTTAAGTAAAATTAGCCAGTCACAAAAGGGAAAAATACTGTATAATTTTACTAATATGAATATCTGAAATAGTCCACCCCATAAATACAGAGGAGAATGATCATTGCTTGGGGCTGGGGGAAAGAGAAAATGGGGAATTTCTGTTTAATGAGTATAGAGCTTCAGTTATAAATGACAAATAAACTGTATAACATCATGTTATAATTAACAACCCTGTACTGTGCACTTAAAAATAAGTTAAGAGAGGGAAAGTTCCAGTCAAGATGGAGCAGTAGGTAAACGTTGTGCTTACCTTCTCTCATGACCACATCAAAATTACAACTAAACTACAAAACAACCATCATTGAGAATTGCCTGAAATCTTGTTGAACCTAAGCCCTACAACTATGGATGTAACAGAAGAAGCCACCTCAAGAGTGATAGGAGGGGCAGATATGCAGAACAAGCTGATCCCACACTGGTGTGTGACCATTAAAAACTGGGAGGGATATCTCAGTTGTGGAGGTCTCTTTCCCAGAGGAGTGAGGGGTCCAAGCCCCTCCCCAGCCCAGGCTTCTAGTGCCAGGAATAGAAGTCCCCATAATTTCTGGCTGTGAAAGCCAATGGATATGGAGACTGAGTGAGATGGTTGGAAACTTGAGTCCCAGGTGTGCCTCTTAAAGGGACCGTGTGCAGACTTATTCAGCAATGGAATCTCTCACTTTGAGCTGCAGCACTGGGGCAGCACCTAGAGAGGTGGCAGGGACATATGGTGGAGAACTGAGTTGTCTGGCTTGAGGATGGGGGCTGGAGGGGCAGCTTTCTCCTGTACAGAAGAGCTCGTGGAGGCCATTTTTTCTTTGTTGAGCCCTGTCCCTTCCCAGCATGTAGACACAGGTGGCTGCTGTATCTGAGTCTCCATCAAGCTAGTTAACACTGTTTGTTTGTAACACTCTGGTGATTCTAGTGCCCACCTCACCCACCCTTTGGGCACACCTGCATTATTTACAATCACCAAGATAAGATGGCAACATGGGTGTTAATTAATTAATTAATTAATTAATGGATAAAGAAGAGTTGGTACATATATACAATGGAATATTACTCAGCCATTAGAAAGAATGAAATTTAGCCATCTGCAACATGAATGGACATGGAGGGTAATGTGCTGAGTGTAGTAAGTCAGACAGCAAAAGAAAAATGTCATATAATTTTACTTATAAGTAGAATATAAAGAACAAAATAAACAAACAGAAACAAATAGATACAGAAAACATTTTGATGGTTGCCCGATGGGAGGAGTTTGAGGATATGTGAGAAGGGGGAAGGGATTAAGAAATACAAAGTGGAAATTACAAATTA